TTTAGATATATAAAGGCTTTTATTCCATATTCTAGTTCACTTTTCAACGCTGAACAAGAATATCTGAGTTTGAACGTTCCAAGTTGTAACCAAACTTAGAAAACTCAAATTTAAAAAAAGCGTGAAAACCCGGGGTTTTGATCTCTTCATAGTATTTTACAATTTTCTCAGCGAGGAAACGGTTTTGAGAGGCGGGGAACACATATTCATGATCAGCGCGCGATTCTTTATCGAATGGTGTGTAAAATATAGAAAACTAAATTCTGCTCGATCTTTGCCTTACGTGCCTCTTATGGGAAAAATACCTTGATTATATTGGCTGAATAAAACAGTGAAATTTTTATAACTAAGTGAAAACTTGTCGTTTATTTCTCGAAACTTGTCCACAGCAGTAACTTGATATTCTCTACAATCTCGCACTATTAGTTCAGACAAAAGTTCAACATGGGTTTCTGAAGAACCCAAATTTGAACAGAGGGTCTGAAAGATCGTATGGGGATAAATGGATATCAGATGCATGATCAGCATCAAAAATTACCTATAGTCAAGTATGTTTCAAGAAAAGTACAAGGTGACACTCGGGGATCTTTCCTCGTAAGATGTTTTATTTCTAAAATAGTAAATACGAGACACGAAACAAACCGCATTTTCAAAAATCATATAATACTGTTGATATAGCTACTAGAACATGTTATGTCGAATCAGAAGTTCATTTTGTTACTGACCTTTATACCAATATCTTATATTTGTCTAATTAGTACAAATTAAAATAGGAAATCAAAGTTTTCTAGATATTTTTTAACAACAAAAAACATTACATCGGAAAAACTTAGCAATTAATAAAAAGGGGTTGACTATACGTAAATAAGATGAGAACGAAATTATATATTTTGCTTATATTGCTGTTATATTCTTTGTATTAATGATATATTTTATCATTAGTTCATATAAAGAAACAAAATTAAATTAAACTATTAAAAAAAACGAGAAACGTCGAGAAAAGTATACACATACAATTACATATTTCTCTTTCTCTTTTATTGTTTCTTTTTTTTATTGAACTTTAGGTTTGTTTCTCTTTTATTTACCTCCTCCTATTTAACAATATTACTGCTACCTCTTTAACAGAATCAACTACTTGATTCAAGCAAGAAAGAATAGAGATGAACACAGAAGTGAGCACGAAAAATAAAAGGAAAACTATCGTCAGATGTGATGTTCTCACCTCACCGTTTTATGTCTGCGTGAAATACGAGAAAATAAAGGATGAGTTTAATAATAAGGACAGATTTTTCTATCCTATCTTTTCTTTTTTTCTAGGAAAGGTACGTAAATATAGAATGAGTGAAATGAGAAGCATTTTTAATGACAAAAAGAGAAAGAGATGAGAAACAAGATATATTAGAGGTATTGTGTGCAGGAAAAAAAAAGGTTTTTGGTTAAATATATGAAGAAGAAAAACATTTTCGCGTATGGATATTTAACTATTCTTTTGACATTTATAAAAATTAATTTATTCCTCTTATACGTCAGAAAAGAAGACATTTTTTGATATAATGATACTACTAATTTCTATGAGTTCCACTAGTTTAGCTTAAACTTTTTATTTGATAAAAAAAATGACAAGTATGAACAGAGTACTGCATGGCAATCCATGATGTACCTACGAGAATTAGAGAAAATAGCGAGAGAAATATAGAAGATCACAATGTTAAATCGAAAAAGGAGCAGAAAACGACGAACTGTTCAATAGCTTGAATTAGATTTGTTGTAATGTTCCAGAGCCATTTACATACAAGTACTATGAAATCTTGAATATTTATTTTCTAGATGGATCTTTATTTTTTGACGATGATCAAACTAACGAGGGAAGGCCACCAACTGTTCCATTGCTTTTCACCTAAAACTTAGTTGACAATAGATAATCGAGTGTGCCAAATTCGAATATCACAATGATTTTCCCCCAAACATCTCTGAAGACTCCGGTTTTTGGAAAACTACTTTTTCAGAAACTCTAAAAAATAACCAAAACCTTTCTTAATAAGGCCTGATTGTAGCCCGCAAATTGCTGATTAAAATAAGACATCTTCCAGCTCTACATGACCTTTGTCTGCAAAGTTATAGAATATACAAGAAAAGCTTTAAATGAATTTCTTCTTATTTCTGTAGCTTTGAGCTGACAATGAACATTTAGGGCTCTCCTTATAAATACTATAACTTTGCAAAGAAAGGTCATGTAGAGCTGGGAGATGTCTCATTTTAATCAGAAATGTGCAGGCTACAAATAGACCTTATTGAGGAAAGTTTTGGTTATTTTTTAGAGTTTCTGAAAAACTGGTTGTCCAAAAACTGGGATCTCCGGAGACCTTTGGGGAAAAACCATTGTAATATTCGGATTCAGCACACTCGATTACCTATTGTCAACTAAGTTTTAGGCGAAAAGCGACGGGACAGCTGGTGGCCTTCCCTCGTAAGAGAGAATAACAACATTAAGAAGAGGATATCTTGGACTATTCAGTGAGATGAATGTGAAGTTCACATCCATCAACAAAAGCCTAAGGCTTAGGCTTTTGCTGACCGATATATTGCAAAAATCATACCACCGTCGAATAATATTTCGAAAAACTAAAACTTATAAATCATGGACAGCTTTATGTCCTCTACAAAATAAACGATTCATAAAATTTTTCTAGATTTTGTCTCTGGTTTTTGTGAAGATTCAGTTTCAGAAAATTGGTCAACAAAAGCCTAAGGGCAACTCCGGTGTTCATATTTGGAATCAGTTTCATCAGTTATATATAGTCCATTTAGTTTCATCGAATAAACGATTTGCAATTTGAGATCCTTTCCTAATTAATTTTGAAAGCACATCATTATAAATCTTAAATAATGAGTACTCATCCAAGAAATGTTCAGCATTTTCTTCATCACTTCTGCATGAGCACAATAATGGTGTAATACACGCATGTTGATTCATAGGAAGAATCATTAGTCTGTAGAAAGAGAATCTTAATCATTTTGCAAAATACTGATGACTACTTTTTGAGGATTATCATTTTGCAAGTGCTTCATCAATTAGTTTGACTTACATAGTTGATACTAGAATGAGATTAATTTATTTAACGGATTCAGGTAGAAATCACTTCCTGCATGTCCAAACTCGAATTTATAAGAAAAAACTGCGCTTTCTGTTATCATTTCAAGAAAAAGTTGTCCAAAAATTAATGATTATCACCAATTGATAATAGAAAATATTACTTTTGCCTCATAAAAGTCTGTGTTTGACTTAATTTTATTCTACTTTTCTTAAATAAATATATTAATAAATTTACCATATAAATATGTTATAGAAAAGAGTTTTTTATTAAATTAAGACTATTCTAATATAAAAAGAATAATAGGTTTTAATGACGACACAGAGAGGTGTGTAATGAGAGCGTTGAAATCTCCAGGGTTCGTACTATCCACTTTCAAAAAACAGAAACAGAAGAGGATTCATTCTCTTCAAAAAACAGATACATCAATAGATGTTTTCAAAAATACAGAAAATAAGAGGATGCAGAAAAACGACAAGTGAGATTTTACACAATGTGTTAAATATTGTGTGGGATAAACTAAAATTTCCTAGACTTTATTTAAAAAATGTTATTCAAACATAGTCATAAATAATCGTACATATCAAGCTTAGATCTCTTTTTATTTATCCGTTCAGTATTATTATCGTTATTTTCTGTCATCTTCCTCTTTTTCAGCACGTAGTCTACAACAACATCATACTTCATTTTACTTTTTCTTTACTCTTCATTTCTTCTTTTCTCTTTCATGTTTTTTACTTCTTTTTACTTCGTTTAGCATTTCGACATGCGTGTGTAGAATTTATACAGTCAGTCTTTATGAAAACATTTTGATCTTCAGTGTATACATCATTTCTGTTAGTCTTCTCTTCTCTTGGTTGACTGAATAAGATTCACGTAAGAGGCAGAGACTTTCTAACAGATTTTACCACAGAAAAACAGTAAAACTGCAGAAAAATGTCGAATACTAGGATAAAACAGGATGTTCTCATACAAAAATGAGACTCATTTCGAACATAAATAAATCTCATCTCGAAGACATGACTCGGATCATCTCTTTCATTTGAAAATGCAAAGAATTTATGATGATGAGTTGATGAACTCATAAATCATTCAAATTTTTTGAGTTTTGTCTTTGATTCTTGAGTTGATTCTTTGAGAATCTTTCTAGTTTTTATATTCTAAAATTGAAACAGTGTAGAATGTAATACGTTCAAGTGATACGGAAACATCTTATTGATGTAGACTGCTGAATCTCATGATGACAGTAGACTGAGAAAATTTCTATGTGACGTTTATAAATAAATGGTTGACTGAATAGAACACTTTTTAATAGTAATATGGAACAAGAATCTGAACTCTTCTTTTTTTTAGTAAAAGGAGGAGAATTTGAATTTTCATCAATTTGTTATGGTGGTATATGGCATTGGTTAACATAACGATCAGAACTGACATAGAACGAGTGCAAAAAATATTTGAAAAAGTTGTTAAGTATAGATGATGAATCTTGATGCTGCTCTTTCTCTGAGAGAGATGTTTTAGACAAAATCTGAAAAGAAGCTGAAGATTGTAAGAAGAAAACTTAAATTTGCTGCTAATAGATGTTAAACCGGAGGCAGAATTCTGAAATGAGACGTGGCAAAAATACCACTTTGTCGAATACTAAAATAGTTTAATGTGGACGCGGTTCATTTGAAGTTATATAAGATATCACATTCGTCAAATATCCTCACTTTCTCTAATTAAATTATAAACTTCCATTCGAAAGATATTCACAACATTTGAAGTTTAAAAGGAGTATACTGTAGCTTTTTGCATACTATTTCTGTCTGCTTATTTTCTATAAAATAATAGTAATAACAAAAGTAACAAATTTTGTACAATGTAAAAATAGCAAAAGATATAACACAAGTAAAAAGTTTATGCTTATTGATACTGCTGATCAAACCATTTATCTTTCATCATTTGTAGAAATTCAACGTTTTCTACGGGATAATGAGATGCATTCCCTATAACTGAATTGGATCCATCACATAACGGACACATTGCTGTTTCTTGATCATCACTCCAATCAAAAATTTCACCAGGCTCAAATTGTGCCAAACATTGAATACAACCACATAATGTGCTTTGAAGTATTTCAACTTTATTTTTTTGACAATGTGAATGAGCAGCGATCAACGTTTGAAGGGTCCATTTCACAGCCATTGAGTAATAAAGAAGAAATATCTAAAATAACAATAAACGAGATTTTATACCAGAAAACGAGGTCTCAAAAACTGCATCAGCAAACAACCTATTAGGTTAAAAAGTACTAGATTTAAGTAAGACAAAATATTTTTCTTTTCTCTCTAGTCCTTCTACCTAGAAAAATTCAATGCTATTAGAATTTTTTCTTTTTAAATTTTAATTGATAAGACATAATCTATTGTGTGTAACATTACTATAATGAATGAACTGAACTATGATAAGAATATGTGATGATGAATGCAGTGAATGGAAACAGGAAGAGTTGAAGTTCTCCCTATAATGAAAAGAATTGTATACTCATCAAAATATTCAATTTAAACATAGAAAATTTTATTTTACTTGAAATATAGCAACATTATTCAACAAATAAAATGAAAATCAGTTATCCTAGAAAGACTTCGTATGCTACAATATTTTAAATTACACTAAGCGAAACGTTTTACGTTTCCCTTCCATTCTGAAGCTTTCCGTAAAAATAATCCAGTCTTTTTCAGGACTAATTCAAAATCTAATTTAGCATCTTTTCGTTCGTGCTCCAAATCTCTAGCTATCAGAATTCTCGAGCTTTCTAGAAAACTCAGTTTTTCATATCGTTACATTACAAACCTCTGATAATTTTATCCAATCGACTTACAAAGATATTTTAGCCAAAATTTTGTAGATGTAGATTTCTTCGTTTTATTTTATCATCTTTTTCCAAGTTACAAGACTTTTAAAATTGAAAAATCTGGATTTTGAGACGTTTTCACGAGTTTAACTATAACTCGAGAAGAAAAGATGATAAGAAACGCTCGAGAACCTCCTTACGTAATTCAGCCCTTCAAAGAAGAAAGGCCGATAAGCTACTAGACAGAACTAATTTTTACAATGGAAACGCGTCAGAGTGATGAATGAACTAACATTTAGTCCAACTACCTGGTTTATATGTGGTTTTTAATGCAGATCACAAATATCATGCTCAAAATTAAGAGAGATACTGTTTTAATGAGAAAATAAATTTAATTGAGTAGAGCCTACATTATTCAAATTTAATTAGAACATCGACAGAAAACAAGCATTTGAATACTTGGAAAGTGCAGAAATTAGAATATGCTTTAAAAACGTTAAAGAGTGAGTTCCTGCAGAGTTATCGAAGAAACGTCGATAAAATTTGACCACAATGTAGATCGATTTTAAACTTTTTGAACCAACAGATCGATATAGCACAAAAACTTGTATATACCGTAAAAATGTTAACTGGTGTTGAGTTATTATTGAGTTTTCTTCTTGAAGTATATTTGATTAAGTATAATATTTGATGCTAATAATGAATCGGATATCTGTTTTTTCTCTTCTACTATGGGTCTCTACAGATATGATTTCTACATCCCAACTTCCATTTGAAGGAATTCTGATACAGCTACTTTGTTATCTAAAAGATGTTTGAAAACTAAAGGATAGATTTTTACTGAGGTTAATTTCACTATTTACTTTATTGAAACGAGTAAACCTCTCCGTTTTTATTCTGATAAAAGTCTCTTCAGTAAAAGTTTCATCCTTTGGTTCTCAAATATGTTTCAGATAAGCAATTCAACATATTCTCCAAAGTGGATATATCAGATTCTTTCAAATGGAAGTTCGGGATGTAGAAATCCTATCTAGAGTGTAGAGGCCCATAGCAGAAGAGAAAAAACAGATATCAGATTCGTGATTAACATCAAATATTGTACTTAATCAAATATACTTCAAGAAGAAAACGATTGGACCAAGTGGAGTAGTTCTAACGTAAGTGGTACTCTCTAAAAAAAAGGTATTTTAAAATACGAAAAATTGTATAATCGTTTGAACCATATCATAACTGTTTAAACGTTTTTTACTTTTATCAGAAAACCCGTTTGGCATTTTTAGAATACGAAAAAGCCATATGATTTAAAAAACCCTGAATTGCTTTGGTATTTAAAATATCTGAAAGAGTTTTTTGTGACATGAAGAAACCTCAACCATTTTTCAGAACATAATTTAGCCGTATTTTAGAAAACGAAAATTAGTTTTTTGATAAAAATAAGAAACTTTTGCAACAGTTATGATATGATTCAAATGGTTATACCCTTTAAACGTTTTTCACAGATGGTTATACCTTTGTTTGGTTTTTCTCAAATGGCCAATACTTTTTAGGGTTTTTGAAATACCTTTTTTTTAGGGTGTAGTCCATTCATCACGCGTTTCCCGTCAAAAAATCAGTTGTTTCGTATTTTCTAGTTTATCCATCGCCCTCCGTCTATTCTAAGAATTTATTCATAACAGATGAGATTTAAGGAAATAACCACTGATACTTAGTACAGAATCAATATACCATGTTCAAGTAAAATACTTTAAAGTATTCAGAGATAAATATACAGACTAGTTTTTTTTTAATGGTTAGTTTTAACAATATTGTATAAAAATAAATAATTATTTGCATAAAAACAAACATTTCATGTTAGTGAAATAAGAAACATCACAGATATGTTTAAAAAAAGAAAAAAAAAAGAAGCACGTGTCACTATTGAAACTGGCAACGACAAAGTCAATAAGTTTGAGTAAAAACAGAGAACGATGAACAAGTAGAAAATATTTGCCTAATCGATACGGGAACGTCCACCAAAGAAAAGTTTCCGTTTCGATTTATTTGTAGTACCACTATTATTATTAGTATCATTACCACTGCTATTTATGTTTGAATTGCTCTGAAATATACAAAAACACTTTAAATATATGATAAGTAATAAAAAAATGAAAAATACTTACAGTTGTAATCGGTATTTTACTTCCTAATACAATTTTCATTTTTAAATTATTTTGTTGTTCTTCAGTTAATGTCTCTTGATGAGGATGACGAGATTTAAATGGTAATCGTAAATTTAATTTTTGACGTATGGCCTAAAAAATAACAATACATATTGCTCACTTTTATCTTATATAAAGTATATGAAAAACTCAAACATTCTATAATAGTTGAAATAGAAATTATTATGCGTACTTGTCCTACGAGCATTGTTTTAACATCTGATTTTATAGCCATAACTAAATCATGCCAACCCCAAGTAACATTACGATACTCCAATGTTGGAAAGATCAATGTAATATTCTCGACATCTTCTAAATTTTTTTCTTTGTTACCCTAAACGATATGTTCACTCTAGAACAATTATTTACATTGAAAAAGAGATGCCTACTTTATATGAAACATTAATCGGTACTTCGGGTATTTTAATGTAATGAAATGTAAGCGTCTTTTTCGCGCGTTGTTCCATAACGTCAAGATCACGAACACTAAAATAAAATTGACTTTTGCCAAGTAATTCATCGTCACCCTAGAATAATAGATAATGAGAATATAGACATATTAAAGATCGACAATAGGAAGATTAGAAAAAGCATCTCCGCCAGCGATTAAGTTGATGAAAACCACAAAACAATGCAAGAATTTCAAATACACAATGCGCTCATCTTACATCATTAAAAAAAGTGATACTTTTTGCAATTGTGAAAAATAACACAAATGAAAATAAATAGTGGAAATAAAATGTTAACGTTAAAACATGTGAAATAAAAAATACAAAACAATTGTGCAATGTTGAAAAACTTCAGACAAACACACACCGACATGTGATTATGAAATCTATTTTAGTTCACTAAAAATTCAGTAAATCCATTAATCAAACGGAAATCCTAATATTACGAAGTATTTTTATCGTTATGTAATATTATAAATAAACACATAGAATACAAACTATGCAACACGTTATTTGAAACAACACCTTTTTAAATATATTTAAGCTGAAAATAGATTTTGTTTCGACAAATCCAAACTAATTTGTTAATTGGTGATCTCATACAGATGGAAAATATAAGATATTCACGCAGAAATATGTTGTCTACTTTACACTACTAAAACCGTATTGTTTGTTAATAAGATTTGTGAATTTGTAAAAGAAGAACGAGGCACAAACAAGGCAAGAAGTTAAAATTTTCTGTTAAAATATAGAAAAGTGTGAATAATCCACGTTCACTTGCCCATCTTATCTCAGAAGAGAGCCTGCGACTTAAACGACGTAACATTGTCTAAATACACATGCAATGAGCAACGTGACAGTCATTTTTGTACACATGCATATTTATTCTATCGAGCATTCATACACTTCTTATTTTCTTTGTTTGTATTATTACGCTTACTTCTGTTGAACGTGATCTTTTATTAAATGTGCTGTGTTTAGAAGCATTTTTGTATGATACAGGTGGTTGATGTCTTAGATGATTTTGTTGACTGGATGCAGAACCTTTGCCAGGAAATAAAAATTCCATCATCATATGAAAAAAACGATGAGTCATCTGAATCGATAATGGAGCAACATTAACTTCTGAAAAAGAAAGAAAACCACAATACTTTATCGTGAGCATAACCGAATTCAAAATCAACAAACTAACCTAGATGTTCTTTGACTGATATTCCACCAACCGACTCTCCTTCTTTACAATAGACTCTAAACATTAATTTTTGTGATGATGTTGATGTTGTTGTAGTATCCTGATTCAAATACGGTGCTAATATAATATTATATCGATCATTCTGTAAAAGATTATCTATCTGAGCTGTTCCAACACCAACGTGGTGTTCATTTGTGTCATTCTCATAATTCTTTTTCGTATATCTAAAAAACCAGCAGACAAATAGAACATGTGTGTAAGATAAAAAGAAACTACAAAAACTTACAAAATATTTCTTAGTAAAACTTGTGCATTTGTTATCTGACCATCATCATGTTTTAAAAACCACGTGATTGAACCACCATGAAGTTCATAACGACGATTCATACGAGCCGTTTTATCACCAACAAAATAAGAAAAAGATATTAATAACAAATTCCACTATCGTTATAAAAATATTTCTTACTTTTTGCTGCTATTCTTAATTTGACTTTTTTTGCTATTTGCATATCTTTGTAAACGGCACACATCATACCCAATTTTTCACTTGATGTATTTAATGAACTTTTACTTTTCTCGTACAATAATTTTAACTCACTCTCATCAATAACTGACATTGAACGACTAAACAAATAATTGACGACACTAACCTATGATCAATCTCTATAAAGATTAATAATTTTCGCCTTACGCTTTTTCTTTTTCACGACCAAGATAATATAGTTCACGCTCGAGTCGTCTTAATTCAGCTAAATTTGCACTAAAAATGGAACAATAAATTAGTAAAGATGTAAACAAAGAATATGCTGAATACTTACCGCACTTTTTCTTGTAAATGTCGAATGCTATCACGGAGGACATCCATATTGTTAGACAATTGAATTTGAAGTCGAATTTTCTTTAAACGATTATTAGCCCCCTAAAAAATGAAGAGTACTGGTAAAAGCTTCCACAGTAAGATTCATTGAAAAACAAAATAACTCATTACCAATCAATTTTTAGCAGATAAAAAGATCCTTTTTCGTTATAGAGCACGTTGGTTCATATTTGTGTATGCTCAATTTCTTTTTGATAATCGCACAAATCATACAGCTGATTACAAAGCGCAGTTTAAATGACCAAGTCTACAGCACTCATTTACCCGCAGCCAATTACGACGAGAAGTCCAATTTTTCCACAGTAAACAAAAATTTGATTATTTTTCCTGATGATAATTAGACAAGTAGTATTAGACTGTCGTCTCCTTATAGATTCTTATAGTAAACTCAATCTAAATTAATAACGTTTCTTATCATTTAAAATTATGTATCCAAAAATATATTCGTCTCCGTTCATTGATCTCAATTATTGTACTAAGAGTTTGGATGTGATATCGAATGAATAAACAAAATCTCTTATTATATTATTAAAATTATACTATTTACTTCTTGTTTTGGTTCAACGTATAGCAATAAATTATTCACAATATCCATTATTGTACGATACTGGAGCTAGAAAAAGTAGAAAATAATATTATTAAGTAATATATTTAACAGACAAATACATTGTCATACAGAGTTTGTTGATAAATGGATATCATTGTGAACTAATGTAAATGAATCCACTGGTAAATAATCATTCTCACCAACTGTCAATGGTTCGGCTTTGATAAAAGGCTAAAATGAGAGAAAGTGTTAAATATCATCAAGTATAAGGAGATTATGTGTACGTACTGGAATTAGAACTTTAGCAGTTTCATCTTCGGCTTGTTCTGTATAATAAACGTATGATAATTGTGCTTGACATCTGCTAACAATACGCTGCAATTGGGTATTTGTACATTTATCTTCATTTGCAGCTACACTGCCCACAACATTCACAGAATTCGGCTCAATCACTTGTTTTTCAGTCGAAGTCGGTGTCGATAACGAATGTATTTCATCACGTTGTATCCATACCGGTAATTCACCTTCACCCATTTCTTGTTCATCATCCAATTCACTAGCAACTGTTGCAAAATATTGCATCGATTGTAATTCACCTTTCCATGATGTTTTAGCGCACAGTTGTTCATCTTTCCACACCGGACAGTGTTTATATTGATCAACTATACTTCGAGCTGATGACAACATCACATAACCATTTGATTCAATACCTTTAAGAGCTATCTGACTATCAGTTAATTGCACACGAATCGAATGACTGAGAATATCATCCGTAGTACACAATTTTGAACCAGCTAATGTTACATGAGGACCAGCTTCCTGGAAAATAGAAGACGATAGCAAACATAATAATCACCTACCAATTAGATAGTGGATCTTACCGGATCATGATAAGCAGCTGGCTTTTTCTCAATCTCCGTAACTAATTGATCTAAGAATGATGCTAATGTTGATCCACTGGTTCCATTTTCCGTCCCATTTAAACTTAATGTTGATGTTGATTTTTTGAGTGTCGAATTAGTTCCATCACTATTAGCTGATGATGAATATAAACTATTTCTATTTGAGTTAGTTGTTGTTGAATTAGTTAATGAGGTGGAAGTCGATGATGAAGTTGAAAGTTGTTGTTCAAGTAAAATGGAAGATGAAAGTTGTTCTTCTTGAATATGTTCTAGTTCTTTTGCAAATGGATTTGATAAATTTGAACGAAGAATATTATTACGGCGATAAATTTCATAAATTAAAAACAGTATTCGACGGTTCGTTATATTCCATACCTAAAAGTATAAACAAATCAGTGTTTTAGATCAGGGTAAAACTTCACCAGTTTAAAACTATCTATTACCGTCTTTTTTCTACATTCACTAGCTGCCTAAAACCTTAGTTTATATCAGAAATTGTCTGTCAAAATTTAAATTTCTTCACTCACACTGAAAACAATTGAAAATAGTAATAAAAATAGTTAAAATTTGTCTACGACTAACTGCTTGTCTGAATGATTAAGGTACTATTCCCCAAAATTATCGTTGATAGCTTATTGTACTTACAGCTTTCAGTTCATTAATCAAAATAGAATGAGTTGGTTCGGTCGTGGATGAATCGTTTGTTTTGGCCGTTGTCGCTTCATCTTTAAGCGTTGAAGTGGACACAGAATTATTCGAGTTATTTGATGAACTATTTGGCGTCTGTGATCGTATATAAACGAGACTATTTAAACTTAGAAAATATGTATGTTGTTCATGGATATACTTATTTGCATCAAGCTAAAAAAACAGCAAGAAAATATTATAAATCTGGCTATTTAGTAGAATCAAAAATGGTGACACCAATCTTTAATGTTTACATCATAAACGAAACAGTAGTCAGGCTAACTTATCTATTAAATAATATTTCTTCACGTATTCGTTAAAGAAAATAGATTAATGTAATTCGATTGAGAAAACTTTGAAACAAATAATTTATTTTTTATTCTTTTATTTACCTCATTATTATTTGAATCATTGACTAACCACATTTTTGCTTGATTTAAATTAACCGTCATCATTTTTGTATTCCAATTAACTCTTGGTCGTCTTATAAGTCCATCTTGATGTGAAATCAAATTTAATTCATGATATGAAATAAATTCAAATTTTTCACAATCAATTTGTCCACCCGTTTGACGTGCATACGATGTCAAATATTTAAAACGAAAATGTGGAAATATAAGTTTTAATTCAATAGCTTCATAATGTCGACTTAATAATGGTTTACGTGGAATATATTGTAGATGAAATAGTTTACCACGACGAGTTGGACGAGTAATAGACATCATTATATTCTAAAGAATACAAAAAAAAAAATAGAAAATAGTTTTAAGATGAGTAAATAACAGACATATTAAAGATTTACTTTGACTCTTGCACAAAATCTCAATGAACTAGCGTATAGAGTACATGTTGGAGGATTTTCTATTGTTGCTGGAGTATCTTTGCATTCAAATTTAAATGAAGGAATTAAATGTAATGAACGAAATTGTGCATATGAATCATGTGTACCGTTCTAAATATAGAAAATAATGAAACAAATATTATTATTAGTATTTATCATCAAGTTAAAAAGAAAATATGCAATAATTTGATATAAATAAATTCCATCAAGCTACTATCTTTTGTTTGTCAACTCATAACCTTGTATAATTGATCATTCTTGTCTGACAACTGTCTGTTAGAAGTGACAATTAAAAAAGAATGACTTGAGTTTTCTAATCAAATAGATAACTGTGTGTGTGTGTGTGTGTGTGTGATCAGAGTCTTTAAATATTTAACATCAATGCATGTTATCAGACTGACTTATCATTAGAAAAACATCATTTCACACATCTGCAATAGAACAATTTTCGAAGTTCTTCTGCTAGGTTCGATCTGCCGACCTTTAATACGCTGCACTTCTCTAACTAAGTACTTTACCATTACACTAAATGTGTCAACGTTAAAATAAGGTCGACATTTATATATAGTATAGCTAGTGTAGTAACAAGTGAATGATCACTTGTAAAGACTATTTAAATATATACGTAAGTATACGGTCTTCATACGAATGTATTATCATAACTCGTAGTTTCCTTTTGCACAATTTAGTGCAATGGGAAAATACGTAGTTGGAGAAGTGCAGCGTATTAAAGGTTGGCTGATCGAATCTAGTAGAAGAACTTCAAAAACTCTCCTATAAACAGTATTCTCTACATCTCCAATAGATAGATTAATTCTACTACATTTCATAATTCAAAAAAAAATGAAAAATAGAAAATAAAATGACTTATTATATACTTCAACTTTTTCTTTTGGTATTGACTCAACATTATATAATCGAACACTGTGATGATCATTTAAATTACCCGAACATAACCAATTAATATTCACGCTAAACAAACAGACAAAATAATTTTTTTTTATTAATGAAAATGATTGATCTCTCATTTTTAAACAAGCAGGAAGTAAAATCAGACAATTTTGATTATTGTATAGTTAGTTACATTGTTTTTTTAAGGGAAATAGTAAAAAAACTAAATTGAAATAGTTTAAATAATACGTATTTAAAATACGTAAACAAGGTATTTTAAGTATGTTTCATGATAAAATATAGCCAATTTCTTCAAACAATTTTCTGTAGCAGCAGAGGAACCGTTGATAAAACCGTTTAAACTAATTGATCTTTTCTTTCAAATTCACTCTTCATGTCTTTTAGGGGCACTGATGGTAAAGCTGAACGAAAACGTCATTCTCAAACGTTTATTTCTTACCGTGCATCAACATTGGGCAAATAGAGTAGACAACAATCATCATATTTTGAACTTGTTCTAATCTTAATTGAGAGATTTCCATGAAATAGAAATTTTCCATTCGTCCAATCCATATAACATTTTTCCCATAACCATTCCATTTCTTCACTATTGTTGTACGGATTAAATGTAATATGATAAAGCCAAGACAGTTTATCACAAGCCATTGAAAATCGACCATGGAGATATAAACGAAGTTTATCCCACCATGATAAAAGTGGACTTGGATCGCGTGTTTGAGGCAAAATTGAATTCAAACATAAATTTAATTGAGCTAAACATCTGAAAGTAACATACACAAATTATTGGTTAGATAGATAAAAAGAAAAACGTTGAAATAAGAATTTTATAACCTACCCTTCCCAACACGGACCATAAGCAAATAAAAATGATTTAGTATCCGAATTAAAATCGTGATAAAATTTTAAAGGTGATATTAGCCGTTGTACTTGTACATTTTCATACGGATGCGATATTTCAACATAAGGACATCGAGTTGATCTCACATCTTCTGGAGTTGATTCTGACGCACATAAATGTCCCCACAAATGAAAATCTAACATTTCCCATAATGGTTGAGGAAAATCTCGAAATATTAGTCTCCATTCTTTACAATCGAACAATGCATAGCGACACCATAATACAGAAAAATCTGTCGATGCTGCTGGTTGGAGACTAAAATAGAGAAAAAGTTTTTAAGAAAAAAACAAATAAAAAATACTAACGCTGTAAAAAAAAGAGTAACTTACCTTTCATAATCGATTTGTTTCATCATTTGTAAAATATTTTGTTTGCCTGTCCATGCTTGATCTGCTATAGCAATTATTCTCACTTCTTTAACAGACCATTTAATTAGATGTCTCGTGTACTGTTCGGTATTTTCCACGTGTAATGCTTTACTACGCTTAACATAAACGTTACTACCAGCTTCACTAAGCGCACGTCTCATGTCTGCTATTGATTCATCTGTTAAAGTATGTTGTTCGCTTATTCGACGTTCTAATTCATCAGAACGCATTTCACTCTCACAATATTCATCTGCCATTAACTAAAGAAAAAAAAAGAGAATAAAACACTAAGTTAATGGCGATCTATAATAATAGCATCGGTATATTTTACACAATAGTTTTGAAATAATTTGACTTCGAATATATCATCGGCAATTGTTAATTCAAAATTCTATGAAAAATCATGAATTACTACAATAGTTTATAAGTATTTGTTTAGAATACTTACACTGCATTTAATAACTAAATCAGACCACATATCATTTGTTATCGTATGCGTTGGAACAGTATCAATTAAAATTGGTTCATTACGATGAAGTTTTGTTAACCATTTTTTGATATTGATAATCTATAACATAAAAAAGTTGAATTTTTAATAGAATAATATAAAATATTATAGCTTTACCTTTTCGAGAACTTGATTAAATTGTGATGCAAATGGAAAATGTATTGAAAATTTACTAAATTCAACTATACTAAAAACAAATATATAGCAGAAAAAATCGTTAGTATTAAAAAAACCCTATAGTAAAATGATGGTCAATTTTACTTTGTTTTATTTGCAAGTACAGATAGTGTTTTGATAGTTTTTTGTAATAAAACTCTTTCGGTTGATAACCAATCACAATAATGCTGACGTTGAAAGTTGATATTCTACAAAAAATAGACAAATTTCTCAAATTTTTATATGAGGGACACGCGTGTATGAGTGAATTGCGCTGCCATTGTACAATTGATTAAAAAAATTTCGAGAAAAAAAGTTTTAAATGAAGAAAAAGTCGGTCGTGCATTCGATAGATCGCTATCGATTACGTATTAATACACTATTTTCCCAACTGTCACTACTTTTTTTCTCCAGATATTGAGATTTTTCGAAATACGCGAAATTAAAACTTCACAAAAAATGTTTTGCGTGTACAAACACCACGAACATGGCATAAAAAACGCTCAGAGTCTTTATTTTCTCGTCTTTTCTAGCGCATAAAGAGTCAAAAACCGTTTCGAAGACTTGTAACATACAGCAGTAAATAGGTCTCCCGAAGACGAATCGAACAGTGTATAATAAGTTATGTTTAGGTCTGTTTTTTCCAAAGATTTACTCATTTTAAGCTCGCGTTACTTTTTGTCAGTAAAACGCAATTTTCTCTCGAACAGCCAAACTTTTCAAGGTATACTTTTTATCACATATTCAGGGTAACAACATGAAAAAAGGATAAAAATGTCAAAGGTAAAGGTTTAGTAGTTTCGAAGATATAGCAAAAACAATTTTCAACATCTCGCGTTACTTTTAGCAGAAAAAACGCAGTTAGCAAGTACAGTTTAATCTTTTCTATGCCAAAAATGGAAGCAAATAAATCTTTCTTTTTTATTGAAATGTAGCATTATCTGTCGGCTATCTTTTGACCTTTCTGGATAAAGTTTTAGTCTAGAATTGACTGAGATATGGTCCATTCAATCTCGCGTTACGAAAAAACGGCATTCTGTGTGTGAAGTCATTATTGACGTACAATCGCAACGTAATTGTGAATCCATGGTTATAGTCTGAAAGAGTAAGCTGTTTTCTATAATTTTCTCTCAAGAACTAAGTTCAAAGAAGCTTTCTTTCAATTAGAAAAGTGATTTAATTGTCGCTAGGTGTCGTCAAAATAATGCTTTTGCTCAGTCAAACGCTTATACCTCAGGAATGGATAGACATTTTGAACTCGTTTTCTTATTGATACTGCACATAGTCAAGGTGAGTATCGTGCAAAATTTCTGCCACATTCATTTGGTAATAAAAAAGTTATAAGAATTTCGCATATCGGATAACGATCGTACAATGGCAGCGCAATTCACTCGTATATATATTTATATGCTTTACTTCGCAAATAAATGTGCTCTGTTTATTAAAATCTATAATCATTTCTTTGCATTGGAGTTGAAATTGAACTGGTATTTGTTGATCAATATCAAATCGATGAGTAATCTGAATTTGACTTAAATCAAAACATGTTCTAAAAATAGAAATAAAAATAATCTAAATATATAAACAATACAAATTGTCTAACATCTAACAGGTGTTATAGAAAGAATGGTCCAAAATGTCCGAAAAACTTAATAAATTGAACACAAAAAAGTGTGTTTCGCCAGTATGACGTTGTCTCTAGAGCAAGCAGGTCAGAATGCAGCCCTTCAAATTCTCTCCTGATAGGCTATAATGCGGATTTCTATTGTTATTTCTGTGTTTTCAGTAATGATTTTTGCAAAAAAAAGTTCAAACTTCAAAATTATCGTCGAAAAAAAATTTTAATTTAAGTTTTTCGGACATATCGATGTTTGTTCAATTAAGACAGCGTCTCAAACGTTATGAGAAATTAATGGGGAATCTTTTGGTAATAAGATGAGCTCTGTGAGTTCAAAGGAAGAGGAGAAAAACTGAAAATAAAAACTACAGCATTCTTTCTAGAACATCCGTTAAATTATAAATAGCACGCGTTCTCGAAAACTAACAGTTTTTCACAGCTAACTATCTTATATAAAGTACTCGGATATACTCTCTGCATGATGATTAGGAATACTTTTTCTAATTATATTTTTATATTTCTTCATTAGATAACTTACACACAATTGTCTGATAAATAAAACTGGAGACGTAAACTTGATTGAAATTCTAGTAGAAATACGTCAAATTGTCTTTTTTTTTGATGATCATTAGATGACAACGCTAAATACAAATGAAACGAATAGATTATAGTTAACAACCGATGAAAACAAGAAAATATACATTGAGAATTTGTAGATAATTTTAGCTGTTGTGATAAACGATGTAAAAACAAATGGAGTTTCGTTGTCCACAATAAACGTACATCATTTGGAAAGACAATGTGAATACGCTATAAATAAAACCAAAAGAATGAAACAAAAAATATTTATGAAACGGATCACTAAAAACAGGTTTTTTGTCTTTTAACCTTTTAAGATTGATTCTTTTCTCGATAAAGGATAATCATTTTTACTTACATTGTCATGCAGTTGTATATGAAATCGTTTTACATCAAATATTCTATCACTACTTAATGGAAACGTTAATGCCTAAAATATGAAAAAGAGTAAAAAAAAATGGCATGAAAACTCTCTATTACACTTACTTTTGTTTTATTTTGATTTGAAAAATGTGCAAATATCTTTTTGAATTCAATTTGTGTTCGTTGTATCAGAATGTCAGATATTGTAATACACATGTAAACTAGATAGAAAACAGACCGGTTTATTTCATTAAACGAGAGATAAACTAATCGATACACATACCAGGCAAAGTATCAACAAAAATACAATGAATTTTTTTCAACAAAATATTAAATATGAGTGACTGTTTTGACGATGATGATGCTATATATTTGTTTGAAATACTTTGTTTACGAATAAGATAAATAAGTCTATCTATCAATGATGCTAAGATTTTATTTATTAATAAACGTGTACAGTTTACATCGAGTTGAATATTTAATTCATGGTCCTTCATTGATAACTGAAAAAATAAAATGATTTTAAAATTAAAAATTACATGAAATTATTTATATTTTATTACCTGCATAGTTGCATGTGTAATAAATAATAAACAATTCCATGGATGTGTATCGAGAAGTAAACATTTTAAATTATCATCATTTCCTTCATAATACTGCTGTCGATCATCTCCTAAGTTATTTCCATTTTCGTATATAAATATTAGATTTTTCAGATCAACACAGTATCTGATGATTAACAGAGAAAAAAAATTAAATATTTATTTCATAATCATCCTATTAAATTAGCTCTCAAGTTCCCATAGAGAATTTTTGAATATTTACCTAGCAGTCATTGTTTTATCAGCTGACAGAGTTAAATTGTGCGAATGTAAAATAAAATATTGTTGAATTGTATCTAATTTTATTTTTAAACACGTATGAGATAAACGTAAGTTAAGTCGAACATTATTTTCCTGCATAAATTGACTACAACAGAATTGTTAGAAATGATGAAATATACCATAAAATAACATTTTTGTATAATGTAAACGATGAGTAGTACCTTAATCGACTTTTATTTGTTTGTTCCATTTCTTGCAATTGAGTTGGTTTAAATTTATTCAAAATATACTGTAAACGATTTATCTCATTTTCATTTGAAAAGAGATTCAAATTTTTCACATGAAAGTCGATATCAATGTTGGATGATGAGATCTACAAATCATAAGATAAGAAATAAAAATATCAGTCAGTCAGTATTACACAATGTCAAAAATACACATAGTAAACTAAACGTGTGTACAAGATTGTAGATAATATAATCTTATGGATGATAATTTTGGAATCTTTTTTTTTCTTTTAATACGAGTAGCAACATAGGGAAACTAAGATAATTGTAACTAGTAAATTCAAAAAAATTCTCCCAACAATTCTAACTACATGTATTCACCTGTGTTTGACATTGTAAACTAGCTAATTTTGTTAACTTTAATTTGTCTTGGATATTTTGAACATTCAAATCGAATGAATAATTTCGTTTAACATTTTCTGTAAAATGATTTGTATTCCTTTTTATAGCTGCTGGATTTAGATTATCATGAAGAGAAAATCTTGTTGATTGTTGTTGATGATGATAATTTTCATCACGAAAATACAAACGAATATAATCAATAAAATATTCTATAGTTTCTGTCCTTAAATCAAAAAAATGTCACGTTAGAATGTAGAAAATGTAATTTCATATTCTAAATCTAATAACTAATAAACTTACGAGGTATTTGTTGTGTAGACCGACGATATTCGTCGAATCGATATATTAATATCAATGCTGTCTAAAAACTCAAACCAGTCTGACAGAGTTAACGATGGACTAAATGATAAAGGTATAGGTGACGTTGGAGCTAGTAATGCTGTATTATAATAGCGAAATTTTGATGGTGGTGAATTTATGGAACGAGAAGCAGATGAGGTGGACGATGAAGTAAGTGAGTCAGTAACGTAATCTTGCACATAATTGATTGTATCTAAACAAAATAAAATAAAATTTACTGAAATAAACAATTTTTAGTGCAATACAACTTGTGTACAAATTATGTCATAAGGCATGCGTATAAAAAATTGAAAATTGTATTTTTGATAACACCATAGCACTTATGATCAAATATTTTAACTAAAAGCTTCAACGTATACTTCTTTCTGGCAAGTTTTTACCTTCATTAAAATGAAAATCCCAGTTATTAATGTTGATGATAAAACGTTGATGAAAATTAGTTTGGACTTCAAATGAACTTAACGTTAATTTGATTAATAATAATTCATTTTTCAATGGAATATCCTACATCAATAGAAAACATCAAAAATTCAAACAAATTTTTATTTTTAAAAATATAAAAGAAACAAATTCTACTTACTTGGAAAATTTCATTCGTCACTGTTTCATTTATTTTAGCAGTTAGAAATAAAAATTGTAGTTGTTCAAAACCAGCATACATTTCATGACTATTAAGCAGAATGGAAATCAGTGAGAGAATAGAAACAAAAAAAAATAAGATTCGTACTTTGATGAATGGAGTGATATTTGACGAAACGAGAATGTCACATGTGAAACATCTTGTTTGTCGTGTTGAATGAAAAATAAATGACTCTCAATGTAAGAGATATGAACAGCTACGTACTAAAATAGAAAAAAACAACCCGTGCGATAATCAATAGTGAAAATAATGTAGAAAAAACACGCTTCATGAATGCTGTTAGTTGCGCGATGAGCATCACTGTATAAGTGACATAGATAAGTAACCACTTTAAGCTGATTCGTTGTTCTATTTCTGTTACCTTTAATAAATATTTTCTGACTTTCTCGCGCAATACGTTGATTTTATCATGAATTAAATTTGTTTTTGATATATGGCTTTTTTCTTTTCGCTGTTTCAATAACACAACTTTCGCATTAAATTGAATATTTTGAAAATATAACGTAGGTGTTTGCCGACCGATAAATGAGCGTATTGGTAAAGAAATTTTATCGATTTTGATATTTATGGAATAGGCCAATGATACTGATGAAATATATTCAATGTAAACATTTTCTATTTCGAAAAAACGGAAACCACCAAACTTTATTTTTAAATCATATCGATATTTTAAATAAAAACATAAAAACCATCCAAGAAGTCTAAATAAAGAAATGGATCAAAGTAAATAATCATTAGGTTAAGGTTGAAATACACGAACCTGAGAAGAAGCCAAAGGATAAAAATGGATAAACTGAAGAAAATTAAAAGTGACCAGGAAATTACCATTATGCATCTAAAACCAGTAAACAGACCAATCTTAACTTTAATATACTTTTACAACTCAACTTTTATATCCCGTTTTCCTAGAGTCAACTACGAACTGAGTATGAATTTCTATTTGAATTTGATTCGTTTTTTCAAAACTGTAAACATGTACACTAAAATACAGTTATACCAAGGAATGAAAAATAAGTATTAAAAACAAAAATGTTCAAAACTATTTACCAGAAATGAAATATATACGTATATACAAAGTACCAGGACTTATAGCGTGTAACAAACGGAGTAAGTTCTGTTCAGGCTGCATTCTATGATGTCGAGCATAGCAAGCTGAGTTGTTATTGTTTTCTTTTGTTACCTTGACTTTTACCCTAGAAGTCTACCTACAGTCTTACAAAATGGTTGTCTGTCTGCACTGTGCGTGTGTGCGCAAAATACAGAAAAATGGCTGTCAGATATTCCATGGATAAGCCAATCCGAAAAGACAAAAAATAGAAAATTATTTTTTAGACGTGAGAGAAAATATTAAAAGAGACAGCTGGAATAATATTTACTGATGAAGATAGAAAAAAAAACTTCTGTAGCTGCCAAACAGATGTCGCTAAAAATCAGTCCATTTTGTTAACACAAAGAAGTCATCTGTGGGTAATAAACTTACAGGGTACACATACTCTGTCATGGCGAATTGATCAAGAATACTTCTGGTCCCTTGGGATCGTTAGAGGGTGTCCATAAAACGCTAAAACTCCGTCAGGACTCTTGTCACAGGATCCTGTAGGGAGTCAAGTTGGACTCCTCATGATTCCTGCAGGACTCTGAACACTCTTTAACCCCTTAAGAGCCCTGCGGGAGTCATAAGGAGTGCCACCTGACTCCCTACGAGATCCCGTCACAGGAGTCCTGGGGGAGTTTTGTCGGGAGTTTCAAGCGCAACATTGTGCGCTTTTCTTGTAGAATCAGAGAAGTGCAAAAAATTTCTCAGCTGTCGTGGTTGCGAACCATTTTCTTGAATTCAGAAATATTTTCAGACCTTTTGAGCTATCATTAGCGAAATCAACGAGAATATATTATATCAACGAGAAATTAGCCTGCTTTTCTTTTATTCATACTGGCAATTCGATCTGTATATTTTTTGGTTAGAGTGTATACTTGTCTATTAACCGTCTCTTCCATTGTATGCATATAACACTTCGTTTTTAGATCTAAGACGGTGTTTCCATGTATAATTTCTAGCGTATTAAATCAAAAAAACTACAACACATGAAATAATGTAAACTATTTTTTAAATAAATATCTGACAGTTTTATCATTCTTTTTGCACAGATTGTCTCGGTGAATGTTCTTCTCTATTCGGTTAATTCCCGAATATGGCAATCATATTCTTGAATTGCTGTTAATTTTAACGTTTCTTGCGTCGCTAATGGTACTCTGGTATGCTTGCAGGCCACGATGACTCATCAAATTGTGTAGAATAGGGAATATCTCAGTAACTGCAACAGATCATAAAAAACGAAAAACAGAAAATAAAATCTCCTTTGTTTCTGGAAAGAAAAGCTTATCGAAAATCAGGTAGTTCGGCATTTTAACTACGGACACTAGGTGTTATGTACAGTAGAAGAACAAGGAATCGAAATTGCTGTATACTTTCTCTGACTCTGTGTTAATATTGATTGGCTTTTCCTTTTCAGATAGAGATTATGACGTGACGAAAGGATCGTCTGGTTGATGAAAACGTTAAAAATTAATCTCACTATGTTCTCGAAGAAAAGTCCGAGTAAAACATGGTCGAATCAAGTATAACGAGCTAAAAGCCTTCTACACAGTTAGAGATCGATTAGACATGAGTTTCTTCAGGTATGTCCTTGAGAAAAAAACGTCCCTAGAAATGGAAACAAAGATAAAATCACGACTATTAACATTAACCTTCTTTAACAGTCTTTGCTTCTTTTCTAGTTAATAATAAAACATTAAACATAAAAGAAAGAATAATTCATTTAAAACATTCGATGAGAGCAACCCGACGCTTAAACCGTCAAGTCGTACAACCTGACGGTTTAAGCGTCGTTTATTTTTGCTTATTCAATAGGAGATGACTCACCCGACCTGATGAAAAAAACGTTAAAATTTGTCATTTTGGCGTCAGATTGGAACGGATAAAACTTTAAAATTCGTCATTTTGGCGTCAGGTTGGATTTGTATTTTAAACGATGATTCATACCCTGACGTTTTAAGAGCCAGGTTATCTGACGGTTAAGTGCGGTTCTTTTCACAGTGTAGTCACTATAGACAAGATCCCGTCGGGAGCGTAGCGATTACTGAGTATCTTTTTTGTGTATCGTGAGAAAACCGTGATCTCGGCTCTTATTTCTTGAGTGTTATCGCGATATCGGGACACGATTGTGCCGCGACTTTCTAGCGCGACGAGTCATGTCGCGACTTCGACGGGAAAGTTGACTTGGAGAGCGTTGTCTTCACTGTAAATTTAAAAATAGATTCCGTGATTTTTATAGAAATCCGTGGTTTTTTCACCTACTTTTCTCTGAATCACGTACAGAAGTTCGTTTCGTTATTGAGTAAGATCCGTGAAGTATGTAATCACGGGCTTTTCAACCCGGAAGCTGTCAATCAGATGCGCGAAAATAGGGAGTAAAGTGCGTGGAAAATCATGGATGCGAGTGACAGTTTCCGTGTTGAAAAGCCCGTGATTATATCACGGACCTTATTTAGTGATGGAACGAACTTTTGCATGTAATTCAGAGAAGAGTAGATGAAAAACCATGGACTTTTCTTTTTTCAAATTTACAGTGTTGTTGTATTGTTTACAGAATCAAGTAAGGGTGCAAGAAATATAAAGTTAAGAGGGAGTGAATTGTGCAATTCGTCTAAGTACTTCATCAATGAAAAAGTTCAAGAGATGTCGTTGTACATCGTACACACAAAAATCTTCACAAAAGCAGCTAGAGAGGGAATAAACTATTCTCTATTTATCTCATTTTCAAATTTTCGAATATTTTTAACGAAAAGTAGGCGTAGGAGTTTTGATCAGGATGATTGAATGTTAACTTTATTTGATGTTGACATTAATGGGGTGTTAGTGGGACAAATAACTTATCTAAATAGGAAATTCAACTAAGTTAATTGATAAAATCTATTTTATTATAGTTTAAAATTCCAAAGTATTTAGTTACATGCTGTTATTTTGTCTTTTAATCATTTGAATGAATCACTGCCAAACCCACATTTTATCCTTTTCTTCATTTTTTTATTATGAATAATATTATATTAGGAAGGAATAGAAAGAGCAATTGTAGCACACAAATTGATAAAAAAAGTAAATTTTTCCTGTATGTGTCATATAAAAAACTAACATTTATTTTGTAGACTCGCCTATGCTATATGTCAATGGGTAATTCAAATAGTAGATCAAGACCATCAAGATCGCGAACGTCATCTTCGACTCTTCATCAAAAAGGTGTTAGTCAAACACGATCTTCATCAAGCGGAGCATCAACCATTCGACGGAGATCAAGATCACTGAGTGGTCGATCACGTGGTGTGCCGTTAATAAAAGAATATGATGTTGGCTTTTACAGCGATCTTTCAAAACATCGTATTATACTCGAACACCAAGATTTTATTCTTCATCATCTTGTGCAGAGATCAGTTGGTAAAGCGTTGATACCCAGCTATCATGAGAATAATGGTGTATGCATTGTACTACGTCGAAAGGCACATGAAAAAATACAAACACTTGAAAAATCAGATAACGAGGATAAAACGGCTCGTCAAATATTAGCCGATGATATATTGAAAAATAAACAGTCGGGGGTAGTACCCAATAAAGTTTTATTAACTGCTGTTCTTTTACATTACTCCAGATATCCAACTGTTTTTGAACAATTGGCAATAGTTGATTCAAGGTTAGATATTATAATTCATTACCTTGAAAAATTGGTTCGTAAAGATGAAAAAACAAAATATTTATTAAAATACGGAAATAATTTATCGTCATTACCACAGGATGTTCAACTATTTTTAAAAAATCATACTAGTGGAAATGTTGCTTCAATTTCAACAAATCCAAAATCGAATGATACAATTTCAGGAACTTATTTAATTCATCGAGAATATGATATTAAACAACGCCAACATGTTCAATTGAAAATAAGAATTGAATATGTCCGAGGAGAAAAGTATGGTAATTCTCTGGCAACGATAACAACAAGATATTATAATATTATTTATGAATGGTCATAAAACGAATACAATCGCGCTCAATTTTAATTTTCGTCTAAACTCCTGTACAGTCACATCTTTTTTGTATTTTTATAATAAAATTTTCGAATATTGAGAAAGCTAAAAGATAACTTTAGCAATCACTATTGCCAACTTTTATCGTTAACTTCTTTCTAGAAAGGATTATTGAATAAGTTAAGCTGTTGAATATGCTATCATGCCACATGGCAGCATCTCCAATAGCGTTTTAAAAAGATTCTATTAATTCCATTCTGAGGATTAAAACTCAGTCTTTTTTTTTTCAGTTTTTAATACAAAATACTCCCTCCCATTCTTCTAAAAACTTCTCCAAAAATGCCTCACGCATGTTTGCATTATTATGCTGTAAAATAAGACCATAGTTCAGGAACTACCTCCGTATTGAAACTCCTTGTAACAAAGAACTTAAAAAGAAAACAAAAAAATTTTCGACAAGATGTAAAAAAAAGTATTCATCAAAGCTCTTAAAACATCTTGTTCGTATTCAGCATATAAAGTATTTTTTAAAATACGACTCTCGCATTTAAATGTAATTTTTTTCAATTCAAAGGAATCTTTTCGGAACTAAAGTAAAGTGCTCCAAATTCAAAAGGTAGGCAAAAAATAGATTTCCTGGATAGAGCTGGATAGAGCTCGTCGAACTGATTCCAAATATCGCCTTTTTATCGACGTTTGATCAAGTTTTGGAGGAGAAATCTTCAAAATACCACAATAGTCATAAAAAGTGAAAAAGTGAGCGTTATAGAAAAAAATCAGGATTTGACCGTTTTCCGTGCACTCTAGTTTTTCAAAACTAAAAATAACATAAAGTGAGTTTTGATGGCGAAAATTGAAAAGTACAGGCAAAATTCCGACTTTTTTGCCCTTTGCTACACTAATGATGACGTTTCTCAGCAGAAAAATAAAAGTTTCTTAAATCCATGCACACTTTTGTTCACCTTCGAATGTTGATTCGAATGATGTATAATAGTTGGGGATAGCTTTTGAAATAAAAGACTACATAGGTTTGGGAGAACCGGGTGTCAAAACGTCCCTGGACCTGCTCGCTGACATCAGAAGGATGAACTAGGGTCAGACGATATTTGGAATCAGCTCGACGAGCTCTATCCAACCATGTATGTTTGAAAGAAATCTATTTTTTTGCCTGCCTTTCGAATTTAGAGCATCTTACATTGAAGTTCATGTTGATCACATTCGATTATGGTATTAATAAGTACCGCAATTAATTGCAGATGAATTATTTCTTATGATTTAAGTAAATAAAATTTTCTAATTTTATTCATTCAGAGGTTTCGAAAACTTACATTTTTATTTTCAAGGAAAATGAGATAAAATAGTATACAAATACAATATTATGAGCAACAACAACGTATAAATAAAATGAGAAATTTAAAATGAGTTTAAATACAACTGCTATTAAAATATTATTTGCTGCTCAAAATTCCACATAATTGTTCCACATAATTGTCGATCAGGTTTTTCTTATTGTTAGTATTAGAAAAAAAAGGACAAACAAACTAACGAGGAACACTATTCTACTGTAACACTTCTTTTCCAATCGTTCATACGTCGATCGATAGAGGGTATCGGGAGAGTAAAAAATCTAAAAGGGTTCGTGTCAATGACTCTTGAAGATCCGGTTTTCTGCAAAAACAGTTTTTCAGAAGCTCTGAAAAATAATCAAACCCTTTTGTTAGTGAGACATGAGTGTAGCCTGCAAATTTCTGATTAAAATGAGACATCTCCCAACTCTACCCGACCTTTCTTTGCAAAGTGATTGAATTTACAAGGAAAGC